GCATAATGCAGTTCGACACATTCCTTGCACAGGAATCGACTTGTACTCAGTAGCTGCGCATGAAATAGGGCATTCGCTGGGTTTGAAGCACTCCAGAAATCTCAAAGCACTCATGGCTCCGTTATATCAGCCATACACGGGCGAAGACATTCACTTGCATTCAGATGATATTAAGGCGGTGCAACTACTGTACGGTAAGAAAGCCAGTTATCAGGTTTGTCTAAACGTTTTCTGTCATTCAGGCAGACCAAAAGAATACGAAAAAAGAAAAATGTACAAAGTGTTTTTTGGCCCTCTTAAAAGCAAAGTCAGTCCCGAATTTTATAAACTCGAACAGTACAACATTTGCGATGATCCGTCGATAGATGCTATAACTGTGATTGGCAATGGTTCAACTTTTGCCTTCAAGAGTGAGCCTTCTTTCACATGCTTATAAAACATTGCCTGTAAGCTGTGCTGCACGCTGCATTACAGTACCGGTGCATAACACAGTGAATCGTATTTAATAATTGCTAATGCCTTATGACGACACCTAACGCAAAAATAATGAACGGAGGATGTTTATCATATGGTATATAAGGTATGCACATATTTTAAGGTTGTCGTTGTTTTATGGTTCTCGTAGCCTACTCATTTTTTCAAGCACACTTTATGCTATTATGAATTTTACAGTTTACAACAACGGTTTCCTTTAGTGACTACATAACTTAGTAACTCCTTTAGTAACTGTAGTAAGAGATATTAAATTTATTATGGAATACAAATCGTAGATGAGGTCAAGGCACGTTGACACGTTGAGATGATTGCGTTTTCGTAAGGGTATTATTCTGGGAGTATGTCTGTTTATGCTTTGCTTTTCTGAAGTATGAAGGAAACGTGAATGTTGAGAGAAAACTTACTAGAAGCTCTCCACTGGAGCGCACTCATCCAGTATTTCTTTGAGAGGTAGGCACATGCCATTTCAGTGAAAAATGTTTTTTAGAGTTCCAGTCTCATGTTTCCTCTGAGCTTCATTAGTCGTTTATCGTAAAATCTAATGATCGGTCTGCACAGAGCGATGAGCTTTCTTAAACAGCATAGCGTTTCATTTTTCTCACAGCCAAGCGTTTCTTTTCCTTAATTATTTCTCACGTTTATGACGCTTCGACACAAACTGGATTTAAAAAGAAAATTAAAATTCTCGAAGCATTATAAATCGATTTATAATTAATCTGTTATCTGTTCTGTCATTGTTGTGGGTGCACTATGAACAGAAGTCGTCGCTCTTCCAGCATTGTATGTTCTCCGCATTCTGCCTCCACCGCTGGCTAAGTAGTTTCACCATCAGACGGCCTCAGCTTGTTTTTTGCCGACCGAGTGGACGTTTGTGTGGCCCAGCGGACGGTAATTAATCACGGGGCTTTATAGTATTTTTGTTCTTAAACAATTTAAAATTGAATTCATGTGCACTTAAATTAGTGGTATTATTTTTACAGTATAAATGTTATTGGTGGATTTTATCGTTGTTAACAGATGACTGGTATTGGCGACTGAATCAAGTGTCTTACGATATCGGTTATCCTCGTAAAATCGCCGCCGATTGGAATGGACTTCCAGACAATTTAGATGCAGCCACAACTGACCAGGAAGGAAATACTTATTTTTTTAAGGTGCATTTTAAAAATTTTTAAGTTGTGTTACATACACGACGGATATGATAATCAATTTCCAAAGGGTGATTTATATTGGTTATATGATGAAAATGGTCATGGTATCAAAGGATACCCTCGAAAGATATCGGAAGGACTGGCAGATATGCCGAACAACATTGATGCTGCTATGACATGGAGTTATGACAAAAAACCCTATTTTTTCAAAGGTATTTATGTGATTGATTCTCTTTTATTTTTAAACTGGATTTTTGATAGGCAATTTATTCTGGCAGTACTCGTCATGGGGGCTTCAAGGTTCATGGCCAATGTTTCTTCACTCAATATCAAATAATTTGCCCCAGCGCATTGATGCAGCATTTATGTGGACCAATGGAAAAAACTATCTCTTTGCTGATCAGTATTACTACAAGCTTAGCAGCTGGCGGGTTATGAAGGTAGGAAAAGTTACTTGAGGGCCGCTTTGCGTAGCGATGTTTTTAGCACTTTGGTGAATGTTTTCAGAACAAGAGTTCCTCAATTGTAAATTATTGAATTGAATAGCTTCTCGTTACTCGGGCAGCATTTCCTAGAAATACTTTAATGTCTTAACTTTAATTCTGTTTCAGAAACGGCAGTTAAAGATGCATTAAGGATTTATATAAACAAACTTTTAACTAAAATTTTTCTTGGGTGCGGTGACAGCATCTATATGTCTAGGCGTAATTTCGATAGTCAGACAACGAAGCCGGTCTCCAATGCGTGTAGCCCTGCAAATTTTTTTCTTTCTTTCTCTCTTTCGAGCCTTTTTGCGTCGCTGCTGGCTGATAGTGCGGTCGGTTGTCACACCGGGTAGCCGTAGTGCCCGCAAGATTGTCAATACACCAGCAATGCCATCTGAACATGCGGCGTCTGACCCCAGAGTGGGTGGTGCGGATTCTGTTCAAAGTTGTCCATCGTTTCCAGCTCATTGGAAGCCCGGCGGTTTTCCGGTCACGTAGTCAATTATGTGTTTTTTCGCACAATTAGATTCTGCCAGATTATTTGTCACTCGCCGACTAGTTGGTTTACACTCAATGTCAAAAATTGCACCCGTAAGGTCCTTTACGTCACCATTCACACGAATAGTTTACGCAATTTGAGACTGAGTGAGTGTCTCAGTTCTCGATGGAATGGTAAGTTTGGCTCGGTGTTGCATTTTGCGGAAGACAGTTCACGTACCTTCCTGGTGCCAGATGGACATATACTCAAGAGTTGCGATGATCAGGATGGTGGAGTGATTTATGATCTTCATGGTACTGTTGAGGATGATATCGATGTTGCTGTGTAGTTGCTCTGAAACCACCAAATGCGCAGTAATAGTGGAGTAAACAACAGTCGAAACTGCAGTCCACAGAGTGTGGATATCGACAGCAAAGTTGGTTCTGGCGAATTTGGCACAATATTTTTGCATGCTTTGGTCTTCACCGACTCCAGAACCGTAACACGGCGGTCTAATGTTACTTTAAAGCATTCCGAGCAATGCGGTGCTGATATAATAATTTACTTGAAACTTGACTATGCATGAACGGTGATTAATGGCTTTAAATGTCAGCAAAGTATATAGCATGTATTGATTATTCAAAATTTATGCATGTTCAGATTTCAAACAAATTATTATATCAACTGTTTGAAGCCATAAATAATACATCAGGATTTTGATTCTGGGCCCATAGTCATATTGACTGGTGTTGAATGGTTGATGGTTCATGGCTCTAAATACAACTGATGATACAGAAGTTTACTGTGAACTCGTTTCGCTGCATAAATCGCACCATCATCGGGGCTGGACTGAGTACAAATCACCGCTTAAAGGCATTTGTGTCCAAGAAGCGAACAATATCAATTTTTCAATTGGCTCACTCTATAAAATCAAAGCATTGTTAAGCTGATTGAACAGAATGTTCACCATCAAACAAAGTATAATGTCACATCAAAATAAATTGAATCTTTATCACTTTGACTTGATTTTGCATGTCAATTCCGTGATGACACCCCAACTTTCACTGATGACAACAGAAGACTTTGCACTTCCGGTTTTTTGTTGTCACTATATGCAAAGATTCCTGTATCAACAGACCTAATTTAGACTGGTTTTTGTCTATAACAGACAGATTGATCGGATTGAAAGAATGCCTTTCAGTAATCACATGCTGGGCAATACCAGGATTGTCAGCTTGTCCAAGGAGGACCTCTGAAAGATGCTCTTCTGTACCGATATTCAATTTCCGGTTGGTCTTTCCAGTGTACACCTAGTCGCAGTCTCTGCACTGAACTTCGTAGACAATACCTTCCGGGTTATTGATGGGCATGTACCTTTAATAAAAGATGTTGCCCAATATTCTACCAGTCTTTTAGTAGACTCTAAATCCTATTTCATTAGGATA